ACCACCATTCCAGAGACATGCTTCACGCTGATGATGCTACATTAAAAAAAATGCGTTATTAAATTTGTGACTGAACCCCTTGGGGGAGAATTGTATGTCTCCTGATCTGTTTTACCCTCATTCTGCCATATATTTCATGTTATAGCAGTCTCAAATGATGACCCAGCACGTTTGTTTTAAGAATACTTTCACAGCACATTTGACAAAACGCAAAGAAGGTACCAATGAGAGATTTCTAAAGATAGCTACAACACTTGACCCAAGGTTTTAAGAATCTGAAGTGCCTTCCTAAATCTTAGGGGGACGAGGTGTGGAGCATGCTTTCAGAAGTCTTAAAAGAGCAACACTCCAATGCGGAAACTTCAGAACCTGAACCACCAAAAAAGAAAATTAACCTTCTGCTCGTGGCTTCTGCTCAAATGATGAAAATGAACATGCGTCGATCCGCGCTGATTTGGATGGTTATCAAGCAGAACCTGTTATCAGCATGGATGCATGTCTTCTGGAATGATGGTTGAAACATGAAGGAACATATGAATATTTAGCGCATCTGGCATGGAAATATCTTGCGACGCTGGCTACAACAGTGCCGTGCAAACACCTGTTCTCACTTTCAAGTGACATTGTAAACAAGAAGCAAGCAGAATTATCTCCTGCAAATTGTAACCAAACTTGTTTGTCTGAGAGATTGGCTGAAGTAGGAGTGAGTGGACTTGAAGCCTCTAAAGTTTTACATTATTTTATTTTTGAATGCAGTTTTTTTTGTAAATGGTTCTACATTTGTAAGTTCAACTTTCACAATAAAGAGCTTGCACTACAGTACTTTTATTAGGTGAACTGAAAAATATTTTTTGTTTTTAACAGTGCAAATATTTGTAATAAAAAATAAATATAAAGTGAGCACTTTACACTTTGTATCCTGTGTTGTAATTGAAATTAATATATTTGAAAATGTAGAAAGCATCCAAAAATATTTAAGGAAATGGTATTATATTATTGTTTAACAGCGTGATTAATTGCACAATTAAGATTAATTTTTTAAATCATGCAAATAATCACAATTAATTTTTTTAATAATTTGACAGCCCTATTATTCATATTTGCCTTCTGGGTTTTGAGCCCTTAGGATTCATGTTTTCCAACTTTTCTCCACTACTAAAGGGGCTAGAAACTATCTTTTTAAAAAAAAGCAAGTTGAAAGTCTTGTGTAATCACAGGACTCAATGAGCTAAAACTTTATGAAAAAACAACAAATATCATGAGACTCATGATAAAAATTGCTAGAGTTGGCACACTGAATCAGTTATTAGTGTTATGTTCTTTTGTTTAGTGTGTGTTACGAGTTGGAAAACAAGACTATAAAGAGTGAACATAAATTGTTTGCAAGTTATGTATCTGGAAATGAGTGGTAAACAAGCCTGGTGATTAACCTCAAAGTATTACTGGGAAATCATTAAAAACACAAAACAACTAAAAAACGGTAGCTCACAATCAAGACACATTTTGCATGAAGCAATTGCTAGCTTTTAGTGATCTTCTGCTGGCCACTTAAATGTCCCTCACTTCTGGTATGTGGAGTCAAAGTAAACAAGCTGACCCATCACCTGAGATTATTCAGTAATATTAGCAGATATGAAAGTAGTAGCCCTTGTAGCATGAAAAGCACCAGAATGACCACACTATGCTATGATTATTTCTCAGATCCTCCTCCCACTCCCACCCTCACAGATTTCTATGTGCTGAAGACAATATTACTTCACCAGTTTTCTTTTATTGGGTGAAAAAATGGGACACCTTTTGGCCCATATTTGAAATCCAAGTTCAAATGTGTCGTGAGTTACATCTTGACCAAAGTCCAGTGCAGAGTGGTGTATTTTTACTTAAAAGTTGCACTTATCCTCTCTGTGGGGATGGGAGAAAGAAGAGACAAGTGTTTCAGAATAGAGAGGACAGTCTCTTAGATTGTCTGAACAATGTATATATTAGTATGGTGCAATAAATGTAGGTATTTTACAAGTATAATTTCCCCCTCCTATTTACAATGCTTTCCTTGCATAAAATCATGGCATTTTGTACCCATGTAACTTAGACTCTAAGGTGATTCTGTGTTCTGGCCAGTAGCAGACCTAGCACACAAAGTATCCAGAGATAGAAATGATTCTATCTTTTTAGCAAAGGCAGAAATAATCCATAAATGTGGCTGTAGTACGGACCATTACTGAGTCCAGGGGCATATGCAGGCATAAAGCCTATAGACTTAATAAAACATTCTAAGACTCCGGCTACTGGGGATTTGCAGGACTGACTGTCCATGGCTTTAAGACAGTGGTTGTCAACCTTTTTTCATTTGCAGTCCCCTAACAAATTTCAAATGAGGTGCAGACACCTTTGAAAATCTTATAGCTGGTCTACACTACCGCTGAAGTCAATATGACTTACGTCGCTTAGGGATATGACACTGCCCTGAGCGACATAAGTTACATTGACTTAAAACAGTGTCCACATCACACTATGCTGGTGGGAGATGCTCTCCACCGACATAGCTTCTGCCTCTCGTGGAGGTGGAGTAATTATGCTGACGGGAGAGCGCTCTCCCATTGGCATAGTGTGTCTTCACCTGGTGCGCCGATGTAGCTTGGTAGTGTACACTTACCCTCAGACATTAGTCTGCTGAGCCCCATGGGTCTGTGGACCACAGGTTGAAAATCACTGGTTTAAGAGGAATCAGAAAAAAAGGGTCTGAATTCCGCTCCACACTCCCGTTGCTTGTCAAAGGTTTTTCTGTCAGGTGCCAATGGCCAATGACTGCCAAAATTTGGCCCCTGGGGTCTCTTCCATCATTTAAATCTATGCCTGCTAGTAATTCTAATTAATGCATATGCTTCTGCAGTGTGCTTTAGAATTTAAGCTACTTAAATTCAACAATAGACTTCAGAGGTTAGACAGAGTTAGTCTTGCTTTTATTCTTCCGTATCTATACAAATAAAAAATTTCTGAGACTTTTGGGTACTGTAGCTGTCTCAGACTTAACAATTATCTGCTATATGGCTAAACAGGTGCAAACTCTTGGCTGACTAATCTGTCAATGTGTAATGTACATTTATGTCAGACCATCTTCATACCAGAGAAATTCCTCAGACTCCATTTTGTGTCCCTGAATAAACAAAAGTCACTCCACCATTAGAAGCTACAGGTCACATGATAAGGTCGGCAAGTCAGAGCTCTGGGGTAAACAACGGCAGTGAGTATTTGGAACGTGCGTCCCAGAATAAATTAAATTAAATTAAATTAAATTAATATCCTACCCCCTAGAACTGGAAGGGATCTTGAAAGGTCATCGAGTCCAGCTCCCTGCCTTCACTAGCAGGACCAAGTACTGATTTTGCCCCAGATCCCTAGGTGGCCCCCTCAAGGATTGAACTCTCAACCCTGGGTTTAGCAGGCCAATGCTCAAACCACTGAGCTATCCCTCCCCCCAATAAGGTAATGTTGGCATGCGTTCAAGCTGATAATGTTTGGCAGGGAGCATGAGCAGAAACGACTGATAAGACAGTGAGCGTGTGCAGTAAAGATCTGATAGCTGAGAGAACAGTATAAAAGGCAGATGGTTAAAATGGTTGAGAGAGGAGTGAACAAGGAGTTGGGAAAGCAAGGAAAGAAGTTAAGCAGGTGAGAGATGGAGAGTGGACGAACTGGCAAGAGAGCTGATCGAGAGAGGCAGCTACAGCAGCAGCAACAGAAAGCCGACAGGACAGAGAAAGCCTGCAAATTTTTAATCATAGTATAGTATTAGAGTGTGTGTGTGCATGTGTGTGCGAATTGTAATTTACCTCTGTAAAACGTAAAGTACAATTTAAGA